TCTGAGAACAATTAAAGATGCAGTCATTGCAAGTTTGCCATTTCACATGTGAAATAAACATTAGCACTGAAATTATGCTAAAACATTAGACTAACATTAACCCTGGGTTAGTGCTAATCGGCTTCTGAACAACTAGGCCTTGCTGGAAAATTAAAATTAAGACTTAAAGGAAAAAAACGATTTCTATTTTCTCAAAGAAAAAAAGCATAATCAATTGAAGACAACCATAGAAGACAAATAGTTCAAGTAAAGAAAAGTTAACCAGAGCATGTCATCATCAATGATTTAAGCGTTAAGTTCAACATAGTTTTCTTTTTTTTCTTGCACCTTCTCCAACGACTGGGAATCGGCCATTAGATTTCGTAAAACATCTTTCAACTTAGAGTATAAATAAAGCCGAAAACTAAACCAGCTGAAACTGTCGCAGGTACTAACGCAAATGAAATTGTTGAAAACGCGTAATTTTTATTTTGGAAGTACCTGCGCCAATTTCAGCAGAAACTCTTGGTCTTCCCTCCTCCTTTTCTCCTCCCTTTCTTCTTCTCGTCTTTCACGAGCTTCCTTTGCGGCCAGAAAACTCCTATCAGCAGCTTTTTGATAGGAAACAAATGTCTCCAACGCCTTGCCGATTTTTGTAAAAGTATCCGTCGTTGACAGCTTATGCTTCTTCGTCGCGGGTTTGAAAAATGGCTTGCTAGCATCTGTTGTTTTTTTCTGCGAAGGAACACAAGAAATATTTAAATGCAGAAGTTAAAGTCGAGAATAAATCATGTGGAAGGCTGTTTGAGCCAATACTTATCTCAATATTATTGTACAAGTCTATTCATCTTGGAAATAAAATTGTCAAGAAATTGTTAGAGATTACAGACAGCGCAGGCGCCGATATTGAAACATTTTCTTGGCTCATTACCTGACCCTCCGATCAGCGAAAGTTTTCAAAGCTCACCTGTCAAACTTTCACCACTGTTTGTTTGAGGAAATTTGCCGGCCGTTTTGTTGTTGCTGCCGCCGCTGGTGCCGCCGCTGAAGGAAGGCAACTCTTCGTTTGGTTCCTCGTTCTCAATATTTTCATGGTCTTCTTCTTCATTGTCCGTCTCAGTGATAATTTTTGAAGAATTTACCACAACCTTCGGTTTGGTACATGGTTTTTTTTAGAGAAATTCATCGACTTCGTCGAAAAACGCCGGCTTCTTCTTCGCAGTTCCGTTTCCGATCTTCTCACATTCGTCTTTGCAGAAGCGATACGCACTTACTGAAATGTATATTCTTGTTTTGCAGGGATCTTCATCACGGTCTTCGTAGCCTGCCGCTCGAATAAAATCGCTTATTTCTTACCATATAGGCCTCTTTCTGGTACAAGACATTAACTTCATTTGTATATTTTCGTTCCCCTCACTTCTGGAGCAGCAATAACGTTTCCTGGTTTTCCCAAATTCTTCCGCGGGTTTTTCTGGCAGCCGCCATATTCAATGTGTTTAGTTAAACACGAAAGTTAAACAACTTCGTTTAGGTAGTTTTATAAAATACGGTTTTAAACCTGTTTGGCTACACGCGCCCGCGGTGTGAACAGGTAGTTTAATAAAAATAGTTTATTAAAACAAGATGCGAGATGTGCGTGATCTGATCAATGAACCAAACATGTTTAGAGACCTTGACAATGAGGTTGACGTGTACACTTTTTTATGTTTCCTTGAATTCTTGGTTACCAAAACCTTTTTCGCTTATATTTGTTTAGGATAGTCAAAAGACTTGTTGAAGGCTTTATTTACAGCCAAATGTATTTAATTTGCTAAGTTCATTACATCTTTATTTACGGACTGTGGATCGAGTGTAGCCTCTTCGTCGGTAAATAACAGCGAGCTTTCAGATGACGGACTACGATAGAATTCGGTCAACATGTTTGGATACAAACCTCTTAAACTGACTTCGTCCAGGATACGACGCTGAGGTACGTTTTAAACATACCGAAATGAATAAATGAGGAAACATATATATAAGCAGCGTAGAATTGGTATTCCTAACAATGAACTCTCAGTAAGAGGATCCACAAGATACAATGTCTCGACGTGAATTTGTAGTCAAGTGTACTATATGGACGTAACCAAGAGGCCAACTCTTCACTGTTCTGGACGAGTTTAATGCACGACGTTTCGGCCGTTCGGCCTTCTTCAGGTTAAAAATTAAAAACTAAAAACACATATCGAGCTCTACTTCAATGTATCGAGCACTGTGAAACGGAAAAATTAATACACAGACTTCCTATTGATTTATATGTATATATATATAAAGAGAGAAAGTACTGCCTGAGACGACACAAACTATCCATAAAGAAAACAAAGACATCGCGATGAAACTGGGAATCGACGACAGAGTAGACGCTACAACCGATAAAGACGCATTTATAACACTTAAAGATCACAAGCCAAACTTCGCAAACAAACCGACCTGCAGACTCATCAACCCCACGAAGTCCGAGATAGGCAAAGTCAGCAAAAAGACCCTCTACCGCATCAACAGCACGATTGCGAAAAAACGCAACTTCAAAAAATGGAAAAACATCGCAGCCTTAATCAACTGGTTCACATCTATCAAAAACAAACAACACTCCAGCTTCATCTGTTTCGACATCGAAGAGTTCTATCCATCCATCAGCCAAGACCTCCTAAACAAAGCACTCGACTTCGCCTCCGACTATGACAACATCACCACCGACGAAAGAAATATTATAATTCACGCAAAAAACTCCATCTTAATCCACAAGCACCTACACTGGCAAAAGAAAGGCAACACAACATTCGACGTAACAATGGGAAGCTACGACGGCGCAGAAACATATGAACCCGTGGGAAGCTTTCTGCTCTCCCAACTCCAGGACCTTAATGCAAACATAGGACTTTACCGAGACGACGGACTTGCCATCACTAACGCCACACCTAGAGAAACAGAGAACATCAGGAAAGAAATATGTTGTATCTTTAATAATAACGGTCTACGCATCACCATAGAGGTTAACAAACAAATAATCAACTTCCTAAACGTCACATTTAAAGTACCGATCTTTACTCATGAGTGGAGACAGGGACTTTAAGATTTAAGTTTCGTTCACAAAGACTAAAAACAATTTCGCGCCCCTTCCCATCATCGGCCTCACTTTGAATCTGGTCTGCAGTTCAAATTAACGTCTGATAACTTCATCGTAAGAATCGCGTGAATTTTTATGGTATGATGAAAGACAAAAACCAATGTGATCAAGAGGGTCAGTCAAGGAGCCAATGAGAACTATAAGTAAAGCTAAGCAAACTGCCCGAAGCGCGGGAAAAAGTTAGCAGCGATTAGTTTTACATTTGGGGCAGGTTTTCTGGCCTTATCACAGACGGTGGTTAAGTAAAGCCGTCGAAATCACGGTTCACTTTCGACACTTAATGGAAATGGCCACATGAACACAACAATGATCATCACATACTTTACAACAACAAAGTTTATTAATACTTAACTTACAGGTTTTTCTTTTCATACTTTGAAGCCACTGCATAATTATCTCAAAACCAACATTCATAAAAGAACATTAAACAATAATATGATAAGTAGCCAACAAATAATTACAGGTTTATTTTCTTACTTTGAAGCCACTGTAAAATGATCTCAATACTAATGTCCATACAAAAGTATTGTAAATAAAAAGAGACTATCCAATATGAACAGAAAGTTATGAGCATAAACTTTCAACTGTTTTTTTTTTTCACTTTGGAGTCACTGCATAAGTCTCACTTATAAAATGTTATGCAACTAAGAAAAAACTTCCCGTGTGTGAGTGACAAAAAAATACTTCAACTGCACCAAAGAAAGAGTTTCAAACTGAAATTAATGAGAAGGACTGACATGTCACAGATTTGAAAGGTCAAATTGAACTGATTGCGTCATCATTTATGTGAGGTTAAGTTCTAAGTATATATTGACGTCACACTGATTGTCTCACAGTCTCCATAACTATGTGTTCCCTGACACCAGCACTGATACTGATTCACCTATAAACCAAAATGACACACGTGCACATGTAACCACTTAGAATGACTGTTGACATTTGCTTTGCTTTACCTCAAAAAATCTTCAAAAAGTCAAATAATTTTTTCGTCATTTTTAGGCAAGTTATATTGACAAGAGAGTGTGAGGTCTTTTACTTGTGAGTTACTATTTGAAGTAGATCTTTTGAAAATAAGAAAAATAATTTGGAAGTTCCTTTAACAGTAGCTTCATGAATGTCGCAGAAAAAAGGTGTATTTTTGAATTCGTATGTATCAAAAGATTGTACAGATAATAAACTTCACAAAACATAAGATGAACTAGTTATAAAATATTGTTTACAATTAAGACAGGAGATCTGACATATCCTAACTACTAAAAGTACCGTACATCATTTCAAAGTAAGGAAAAGGATTTGGAATGTGTTTTAATGACAATAGTGGCTTCATAAAAACTGCAGGAAGAAATTAATTCTTAAATATTGAATCCCATTAAAAGATTGAGAAAAGAATGCGTGATGACCTGTTTACAAAACGTATTTTGGACTATTTACAAAGGATTATTTACAATGGAAGACAAAATGTTTCATCAAAAGAATTTTTCTCTCTGAATGTAGAGCACTCGATATCATATATCATTATGAGAAAAATCACACTTAAGATACTGTTATAAATGAACTTATCAATATATTTAAAAATAGTAGATGGATTTTCATTCAGTCTGAAATGCAAAAAAGAAATTAACCAACATGAGAACATCTACACCACTTCATATGACAGAATTATAGACAGTATGTTTTACTGCTAGATTGTAGTAAAGAAAAACACTAAAAATTACATTAGCTATATGCCTTGAATTTCAACTAATTAAAATACAATATTGACTGCTATCATAGGAGGTGTTAGAGTCACAATTAATAACTTGCATTTCAAATTAGTCAAGATTACTGTTTCTTACCATTATTAGGCATGAAAGCTCTGCTAGTGAATAGCAGCAATGAGTCCAGCAACTCTTTTTTCAAGAGCTTTGTTTTCATCTGTTTTCCCCCAGCCTAAAATCAAAATACAAAATCTTGTTTCCTTCATCTACATTTTGGCTTTGCCTTTGACCCTGAAGAGTGAATAGCATCTAATTTCTCTTTAGAATATCACAAGGATAAAGGAAATGATCACTATGTAAAGAAACTCAAGGTTGTTAAACAAATTCACCTGTCAGCACCTTAGGAAATGTAAAGAGAACAGTTTGGAGTATACATATATATATATATATATATATATACAGAATGATGTTAGGGTGTAAAGGGTTAAGAATCAAGGCTCACTAAACCAGTCCCAATAACACTTAACTGAGAAAAAGGAGGAGAAACAACTGAATACTTACCTTCCACTTCTGAAAGGCGTCTCAAATCTGAACACAGCAAGTTAAGACAATTTTCAATGTTTTTTCCTTTGTCACTATATTGGTGAAAGGAAAACAGAAAATCAAGCAAATCTGCCTCAAGCTAAATACAACCTTTAGTTAAGCAGAACCACTACAGTCTCTGAAAAACCCAAATAAATAACAAGGACAAACAGTGGAACTTCTCAATCTGTAAATCAAACACTAGTCATTCCATTGCCAACATTTTTTATTATTAACAATAACAAAAATGAATCCAGAGGAACTAATTAAGCAATATATGATAGATAGATCAGTTATCCATATCAAAGGCAGTTGGTCCACATATAAAGGCACCTGAGCAGAGTTTTTGGATCATGGATTACAATGTAAGACTACATTTTAGGTCATAATGAACATGTTTATTTTGTTTCTAAAATAAGTCTTTATTACTTACAGGGCAAGAAGATCTTCTTTTCTTTTCAACACTTTGGAATGGAAGCTATCCAATATAAGCCAGCCTTGGTTTAAGCTTTCAAACTCTTCTTTGTGGTCTACAGACAAAAAGTAAACAAATATATTGTATAAGCTGTGTAAGTTAAGCATGGCTTATAACACCTGAAATAAGTGTAAAAACTTGCAGTATCTCTAGTTTGGGGATTAGCTGTTTTTTAACATTTTTAACCCTTTCACTCCTGAGAATGATCAAGACAGAATTTATCCTTACAATATCAAAACAATATAAAGCAGGAAGTTATTAATCCATTCAATATCAAATTTATTGATCTAATATGATAAGAATTGTACAGCAGACAGTAAAGAGAATTACCTATAAGATCCTGGAGTAAAAGATTTATAACTCATTAGTGGGGAAAAGAACTTAACATAAGTTTTTTAATGAAGAAATGCCTGCTCTAAAATTTGACTCAACAAGTGAATGAAACATATTAATTGTATGATTTGAAATTCCAAGGTATTTCACTTTATCATTTTGGAAATGGATCACCCACCTGATGACATGGCTCTCTGCATTTCAAGTTTCACTTTTGAGCGGACTTCTTCCGAAGACAATAATTCATCTTGAACAAGCTTCAGTTCCTCTTCAATATAACTGGCCAACTCTGAGTGAAGCTGGCTTCCACTTGAGGCTGAACAAAAAAGTTAACATCAATAATCAACAAAAATAGTTGTAATTTAGAATAAAAAAATGTAAAATTATGATTTTTATTTAGTGCTTATAGCTCAAGGTTCCAAGGAGTCTTAAAATAAAACTGTTTGATTGAAAATAAATCAGATCAAACAGGAGAAAAGTATTCAAATTTAAGCCCCTTTCCATTTGGAATGGGAGGCTGGAAAACAAAACAGAACTTACCTGAATTTTCATCTCTCTTGGGAATGCACTTCTCTTTTGTTGCAACTTCATCTTCCTCTATGAAAATTGTTCCTCTGTAGACAGTTTCTGAAGACAACACAGGCAAGGAGTCCAGTGCTTCTTCATCATGTACAACAAGATGTAATACCTCAGGCTGTTCATTAATTTGAAACCTTACAGTTTTATGAAGGTTCCTTTTACTCTGGGCCTCTTTTTTCTCTTCACTCTCTAATGGCAGACCCTGGCTAGCAGATGGGTGTGTTTGGGGTGAAACAGGGCTAAGATGTGGATGATGAGGTGAAGACTGCCTCCTGACCTTTCCTGACCCCACTTTGCTATTGCTGCTAGATGAGGGATCCACCTGAGGTTCAGCATTTGGGAAGATGCCACCTTGTTGTTCAATAGTCTTTTTATCTTCCCCAACAGCAATTTTTGTATCACTTGAGCAGCCAACTTCATTGCTTTTATCTTTCTTTTTGTCTTCTTCAGTCGCAATGTCTGTATCACTTGAGCAGCCACGTTTCCTGTGCCTTCTTTTTTTCAAAGATTTATACTTGGCTGTCTTTCCCTCAGCTTTTCTTCTTGCTTGTTCCTCCCTGACCTCCTGCATTATCTCTTCCCATATCTCTTCATCTATGGGACTGTAAAGGTAATGCAAAAGAGTTAATGGAATTTCACAATACAATTACTTTTAGACAAAACAAATAATAATTGCATGAATAAAAACCATCGAGCAAGTACACTTTAGATTTTAGTTGACCCTTGTGATTATGCAGCAAAAATGATAATATCTCACTTTGAAAGTTTATTGATCAAGTTCATGGATCTAAAATAACATTATGATAGTAACTGACTTATAAATGCCAAACATAGGCTAGATGATCATTACAATAACTAGCTATGGAAATTACTGAAGAATACTCACTGAATGACTCCGTCATCTTCCTGGATAATCCATGATAATTCAAACTCAATTTTACCAGAAACAACTTTCTTGATTGCTGGCTTAAGAGTGACAGTAACTTCCACTTTTCCAGGCATCTCTGTAATGTAATTGCTGATATCAATACAGCCAGTGGCCAGAAGCTGGTGACAACCACTGGGGGACACCTAATGATTTCAAAGAAGCAAGAGGAAGATGAAAAGTGTTCAGATTTACTCCAAACTGCCTGGAGTGAAAATAGTATCAAAGGCAAAGAGCGACTACATACTCATGTAAAATTGAAAAGGGAAAAGCTTACATTACAGATGTAAATATTCCACTGCTTTTCTTGATATTCTGTCATTTCATCTTCTGGGTTCTACAAATACAAATAAATATTGTTTTAAAACAAAGAAACAAACTTGATAACAACAATATTAGGGACCTTGAACAAATCATGAGAATGATGGAAACAAAGATGTGACAAAACAAAAGACCAAATGAGCAGAACAATAGCTAAACACTAGTGTTTAGAACTTCCCCATAGTTCATTATGCATAGAGCTCTTGGATAAAGAAAACTATGACGAAGGCAAGTCTTTCGGACTACAACTTCGTTTCCGAATGCTGCAGCACTTTACGGAAATCTGTCCCCCAATTTCTACCTCGTGTTGCCTTTATTTTAAACTTACCTTGAGGAGAGTAAGTTTACTATCTACTGGATCAGGCTCAGGCCAAAAATGACCACCACGATAACCATTTTCAACACCTCCAAACCATGCTACAGGCTGAGAGAAAAAGTAATTGCAAGAAATATTTCTTTCACTCAAACTGACGATTAAGAAATCAATAACGTTTAATGAGCTAAGAGAGAAAGATAAGAGATCCAAAGTCTAAATTGACTACCTTTGTACTGTATTTCGCTTTCCTTTTTTTCCAAAGAACTGCAAGCTTGTGGGGATACCTAATTAAGGAACAAAACACAAATGTCAGCATAATGTGAAAAAGTTGCCATAGTTAGCCATATTTCTGTTCAGTGCGGATTCTATCCTTGTATAAGCGTTGACGTTCTACGATTCAAGGGCTGAGATGCACTTACATCTTTTGTTATTTTGGAATACGACAAAAGGCAAAGAAGTAGATCGTATGTTCAAGGCGGCCGCCATGATGTCTTTGAGCCAAGACTGGTAACTAGTAAAACTAACCCCTCCCCCACCTCGCTGTCAATAATTAACCGTTATCAAAAACTTTCTCTCGAAGCACTGCCGTGAAAAATACCAATTAGCTTAGTATTTGTTTTTCACCGAGTCTTGCAACTTCAAAGGGCAAACAATATTCAGTTTGGGGAAAGACCCTTTGTTTCTGTTGCTTAATTCTCACGCGGTATTCAACAGTGAAATCGAACTCGATCAAATTCTAAAACGCATATTTTTTTCTCAATTCAATTAATCATAGTGAAATTTATATTGTTTTCGAAATTGTACGCTTTGTCAGAGTTTAACTTTTGATCATTTTCTAATCAGAAAAGTAAGAAAAAGTCTGACTCTACTGGGACAAGTAGCTTCGAAGGCTAAACTCTTAATAGAAAAGAGAGAAAGAAAATACTTTATCTTGTCCCTTACCACCTTTTCTTGCGTAATTCAACATTCAGTAACGAAACAGATGCTGTGATCAAAAAATTATCAGCTCTTGCTTTTTCCCGACGGAACGGTATGAGAACACAAGCCATTGCTGCTTCTCACAAAATCTCTCAGACGAACTCTAAGGATTTCTGCTTCGTTCATTGTGATGTCATGTTACCATGAAAATAATTGCTTCGAACGCATGTTGCGCGCGCTCAGTGCATTGCATTGACTGAGGCCGGTTGGAATAACTTGAAATTTCTCCATAGCAGTTGAAGTAGAAGTAGCTAAATGAGGAAAATAGTTGCATTTGGGAAAAAAAATGTCCGCCTCTTTACATTTCCTCACTCGTGTACCATTATGGCTTTAAAGTCGATTCATAACGATTTAGGTTATTGTATTTTTTGTGTTTTCTTCCTATTTATTTCTAAAGGAAATATTTAACAGTCAGCTGATACAAGGGTGACACTTTGGTTGAAAAAAGGTGTGCATTAGTACCCTCTCCCCCTTGCCCCTCCCCCCTCCGATCTGACCCTCTCGTTTGAAGAAACCAAATTCTTACAGTGTACGGAGAGATGTGAGGTGTGATAACAATACTGAACAAGCTACAATCCTAGCCATAATAGTATAAACTTTTTCCCTTTCCCACCTTAGACCGCCCTAAAAAATACAATTAAAGATAGAATCAAAAACTGGACAACGAGAGGTAGGCTTGTGTTTTGATAAAGATTCATCAGGGTTTCAAGTCGAGTATTACCTTACGCTCAAGGAGGACTGGAGTGAAATCTGTTTTCATGGTACTGGACAAGAACTTTTGATATCCTATGCTTGTCTGCTGTCAAGAAATTACATCCATGGGGAGTTCAACGAGCTCGAGTGACACCAAAATTTTCTTTTCTTTATTTAAGGGCGTAAAATGAACCTTTCAGATGAGCTGCGAACATTCCTGCGATTGTAATTCCCCCTGAGTGCTCTATTGTAGTAATAATCACTAAGTGGTATTTTAACACTAGAGGCACTGAATGAAAACTTGTAAATACGATAGCAATTTTGTTTTACTCCGGTGATACTAGGACGCCATTACAAATAGCTCTTACTACTGAGCTCGTAGCCACGCCGCAATTAGGAATGAATACGAAATTAAAATTGGTATTTGAAAGCTCCACGGAAACGTTCGTTGCTTCTAACAAACGAAGAAATTGACGATTAGAAATCACAATGATTTATGGAAGTTAAAATACTAATGATAATCGTAATTATAATACTAATAATAATAGAAATATAAAAAATAATAATAGCAATGATGACAAGAAAAAAACAAATTAAACTTCGGAGTAGACCGTGCCCCTTTGTGAACCAGGAAATCAAGGATCTTATGAGATCACGAGATCTCCTCCCGAAGCAATTCATACAGTCTCGCCAAGACACCGAGTGGATAAATTTCAAACATTCCCGTGACTTGGTCAAGAAAAAGCTACAAGAAGCTTAAAGAGATCACACCTTTGAAGAGGTCACAGCTAATAAAAACAACTCTGCCTCACTCTGGAAAATTATTAATCGTGCCATCCCCTCCAAAGATAAGCAGAGACCAGCCTTTACAAAGGATGTGGCAGTCGTAACCAACGAATTCGATCAGTTTTTTGCTTAAGTCGGCTTAAACGCCGCTGACGCTGCACAGCGCTTGAGGGAAAACATCATAGTCCGAGATTTTTCATCCGAAAATGGCATAGATACTACCTCTATGGAACTATTCAATTTAAGGACAGTGTCACTTGAAGAGGTTCGTCGAATTGCAACATCTCTCCCAATGAATAAATCTCCGGGACCTGACAAGATCAGCGCTTGAGTACTAAAAGACTGTCTCCCTGTCATATTGGGCCCTCTTACTGACATCATCAATTGTTCTATCCTTACTAGCACATTTCCAGACAACTGGAAAGAGGCTGAGGTGATTCCGATTCTTAAAGACGATGACCATGAAAAAGCTGCCAACAACAGACCGTTATCTCTGCTAGCCGTAGCCTCAAAGGTCCTCGAAAGGATTGTTTTGAACCAGTTCAGCGCCTATCTCACAAAAAACAACCGCCTTACCTCACACCAAAACGGCAATAAAAAAGCTCATTCTACAGAGACCTTAAACATTCTACTCACGGATAAGATACTCGAAGCAATGGATAAAAAGCAGATAACAGCACTAGTACTATTAGCTCTATCCAAAGCCTTTGACAGTTTTGACCATGCAAGGTTGCTCCACAAACTCTCCATCTTAGGAGCCTTACCGTCTACTTTCAAATGGTTCAAGAGCTATTTAACTGGTGGCAGGCAATACGTGAGAATTAGCTCCGCCTACTCTGACACTCTACCTATAACTCACGGAGTCCCTCAAGGCGCAATCCTATCACCATTGTTGTTCTGCATTTATCTCAACGATTTACCCACGGCTCCGACCGTTTGCAACCTAGAATCGTATGTGGATGACTCAAAGCTATTCATGTCATTCCCTCTCGTTGAGCTTGATGCTGCCATTGAAAAGCTCGAACAAGATCTTCACATTGTAGCTCAATGGTGCGGTGAGAACCATCTACTTATCAATCCCGATAAAACTAAACTCCTTTTCCTCGGTACCAGACAGATGTTAAGCAGGTTACCATAAGACCCTGAATTGGTATTCTTGGGTAAAACACTGAAGCCAACAGACTCTGCCAAGGACTTGGGAGTCTTTCTTGACCCCCATCTGACCTACGATCACCATATTTCATGTGTAATGTCATCTTGTTTCGCAAAGCTTTGCCAAATAACAGAGTCAAGAGAAGCTTCGACCAGGAAACACTAGAGTCGTTAATAACGTCATTAGTCTTGAGTAAGATGCTATACTGCTCATCTGTATGGTCAAATACCACATTCCAGAATATAAACAGATTACAATCAATTCAGAATTTTGCCAGCAAGATCGTAACAAACTCTAGGAAGTTTGACCATGTAACACCTTTGCTTCGTGAACTAAATTGGCTTCCTGTTAAAGAACAATTATTCTATAGAGACTCCGTTCTGACCTTTAAATGTCAGAACGATCTTGCGCCTCAATACTTAACGAGCAAGTTTGCCAAACGCTCGAATATACATACTCGTAACACTCGTACGCGGAACTCTTTGCAGATTCAGCTATACAGAACGGCTATAGGCCAGCGCACATTTTCCTACAGAGGGGCCAACATATGGAATAACTTGCATAATGAACTTAGGCAAAGTACCTCATTAGCATCTTTCAAGTGCGCCCTGAAAGGCACACTATTGAGGCAGATATTTCCTTCATAAGCTCTAGAATTTAATTTAGTAGAATACCATCATAAATTGTGATTTCGAGTTTTATTGTCATTTTTTCTTTTATAAATTGTAAAGAGTTTGTAAATAGTTCCTGAAAAACCTCACGAGGATGTTACTATTAAAGTTATTATTATTGTTAATCAACAGCAAAAGAGCGAGAAGATGGACTTTATAAAAGACTTGAGAAAAGTCGTGTTCCTTTTTTATTTACATTTATTTACAATTATTACAAATCAAGGTAAAATAAGGAAATAGCGAAAAAAATCGCAATGAAAAATAGGCAACTCAATATGTTCACAATTGAATCAAAAATGATCTCGCGTCAATTTGAAAGAAAAAACTAAGGCGATTACGTTACTCCTTTCCCTGGTGAAGTAATGGCGTGGCTTTATACTGAATGAGTCCCAGTCTCCTTGTCTTAGCATTCGGTTAATCATCAGCACTGATATGGATTGATCGCAAAGAAAAGTGACGCATGCAGCCAGAAAACCACCCAACATAACCCACAGCGTTTGAATCGCTGTTAATACAGGTTGTGGAAAAAGGCAATTTTAAGAAGATAAAAGGAAACAAAAAAGGAAACAAAAACAACCCAAACTAGTAAAGGAGAGAAAAAAGCAAAACAAAAAGGAAAATTCCCCAAAAAGATTCTAAACCCAAATTACAAAATACCTAAAAAACCCTAAGCTTAAAAAGCGAGAAAAGAAAACAGAAAAAGAAAGAGAAGAGCAGACAGGAAAAAAAGGATGCAGTGCCAAAGGCGAAGTATTCAGTTACGTGCAGTGATTTTGTGGCCGCTTACGTCACTTCATTACAAATGATTTTATATCAGCGCATCTGATTGGAAGAAAACAAAGCCATTGGATTGAAATACGTAAACTATGACTTCACCTTAGATCTATCTACCTTCACCTTAGAAATAAAACGTAATCAAAATAAAAGATAACAGGGTCGTAATGAAAAGAACCTTGTCAGTTCTACTTTTTTGTCCGTGACCCTGAACTTAAGATATTACATTCACAAAATAGGTATTTATACTCATAAAACAGTTCCGAGCAATTAAAAAAAGACGAGAAAAGATAAAGATAGTTACTTATGTTAACAAAATGAAAGTTTACAACAATAAAAATTATTTGAATTCATAGCAGTTATGTACATGAAAATTGTATGACAAATAAAGTAATCTCATGATTCAAGGATAATATCTGAATGATTCTCTTGGAGAAAGGACTTTACATTAAAAAAAATGAAACTGCCCAAAATTTGTAGATTTACAAAGAATTTTTAACAAGAGATTGTAATCTCTCGTTGTTATAAAAACATGTTACCATACAAGTCTGACCAGAAATAAGGAAATAGTTGTGAAATCGAAACTGCAAAAGGAAAGGAAAGTAAAAACAGAATTAGCCTTGTTATTTATAATAAAGTCTCTTAAATCAACATACCCCAAATGATTCGTGGCAAACTCATTATAGAATACAAGGTAAGATTACACGAAGAGAACCAAAAGCATTTCAACTTAATTAAAATGCAAGATTCTTACTTTTAATGCAGTTTGTTATTCAGGCCATGTTGGTCAACTTGAGAATAAGATCCAGGACATTCTTTTCCTGATCTTTGTGTTCTTCGGTTTTCTTCCAACCTGCAACAGAAAACGTAATAAAACATCACTCACCATACGATGGCAAAAAAATAAAAGATTGCATAAAAAAACCCAGACGTGGGTAACAAACCACTTGTTTAACATCATACAAGAGAAAATTTAGCACTATCACACTGAGGAAATAACTTAGAAACTGATTCCCACCTTCGACTTCAAACAGGCATTTAAGGTCCTGACGTAAGAATTTCAAACACTCCTTCCGGTTTTCCTGTCTGGAACTAAAAACAACAGAGACGAAAGATAAGGCTTTAATATGATAAACTTTCAAATGGAAATACAATGCAAGGAATCAAAATTCTTAATGGAAAAAAGGAGTGCTTATATACACTTAATTTAAATCATTCGCTTTGGTTATTGAATATGTATTACCATCTCATAATTGGGCATATTGAATATCCAACTATCCGGCAAGGTTTAAAACAGCTTTATAAGGATAAGATGTACTTACAGAGTAAGAAGGTCTTGTTTCCTTTCGTCAAGTTCAGAACGGAACTTATTTAGCGCCAACCAGTCAAGTGATAAGCTTTCAAACTCGGCCTCATAATCTGAAAGGGGTAAATTAAAGAAGGCTGCATTTAATTTGTGTTTAGTTAATTACACGTGCATCACCCTCTATTTGGCGCGACGGTATACCCGAATAATTGTTTCCAGACTTTACCTCTTCCTAGGAAAGAAACTGTTTTCCTTTAGCGTTGCGTAAGGGAAAATAAGCACTTCGAATCCCGAAAGATTCCTGTCAGCTAGCAGGATAGTTCGGCTGCTATTTGACAAAAGTGAACAGTTGGAAAGGTTCGAAGCTAGGGATTCAGGATAGTGGCTCTCGAAAATCGCTGTTATGCACGTTTGAAGCAAGTATGTTAGGTTTTATATATTGACTCATGCACGGGTAAAAAAATAGAAAACTAACCTTCAGTGTCTATTGCTTCTTTCATCTGTAATTCCAATTTAACCATCACCTTGTGCAATGAAAGCAACTCGTGTTCGACAACCTTAATCTCTGTCTCCACATAAATGGCCAACTCTGGGAACTGACTGCTTACGATGGAAGCTAAGGAAGATTTCAGAAAATACACGTGCTTAAATAATGAAAAGAGCAGGTGAATATATACACATTCTGATGAAGTTGATATTGAACCAATTAAATCTATTTGGTTAAGAGCAATCAAAGTACAAGCAACAGTCGGGAATGAAGGTTTAATTGCGCGCGGATGGGAATGTTTCTACTGACTCTTTTCTCCGGTTCGGTGGATAAAGATGCACTGTTTTCCAATACTTTCTGCTCATTAGGATCTATTCTGTGGTATGCTTACAGAACAACTTACCACAGCTGTCTCCACCCTGGCACTCTTCCATAGCAATTACTTCCTCGGAAGGTTGTACGTCATTGGTAATTGATCTCTCGCCCACATTTGAACAATCTTTAGCAGTCGAAGCATCAAGGTTTGTTGATCCCATACTTGCAGGAACATTATCCTTGTTTGTGGAAGGGAGATCGTCAGGAGAGACCTCCTTATCAGATGCTAAGGCCTGGGCCTTTGAGTCACCTGAATCTTTACGGTCAACCTGTTCGTCTTTTTCGTCGCTGGCAGCCAACCCTTGTAGTGCAGTCTTTACATTTACCTCTTCTACTGCAGCTGTGTTCACCTCAAACTGAATATCTTCCAATGAAGAAACAGACCACATGTCAGAAGTATCGGTCGACTCCAAAGTTGACGAACCATTTTCCTCATCGGTATCATTGCATGGACTGTGTTCCATCTTGTTTTTTTCACCATTAGATTCTTTCCGTTTTGTTCTACGCCTTTGCTTGTTGTGCATGTCATCAGCATCACTGGATGAGATGTCTCCCATTTTGTATTCTTCATTTTTGGATTCTTTCCGTTTTCTTCTACGCCTTTGACGACGAGTACTGGAGGGCGTCTCGCTCATCTCATCAGTATCATTAAGTGGATTGTTTTCCATCGAATATTCTCCACTTTTAGAGTTCTTCCGCCTTCTTTTATGCCTTTGGCGACTAGCGCTGGAGGCCTTCTTGCTGTTCTGGGACGAGCATTCCTTATCGGTGGTACCGTCGGAATTTGCAAACGGGTTTAGATCCCTTGGATAGCATATCTCGTTTTCCTTCTTCTTAACTCTTGTCGTATCACTCTTTTTACCGGGCTTCTTCATATTCGGTGGAGGGGGGCGAGGTGGAGCCACCTTACGAGTTCGTGGTTGACGCGGTGGAGGTATCGGAGGAGAGGGACAGGCTGAAATAGGACGAGGTAAACCAGATTGAGATGGACTGGTATGAGAAACGGAAGGCCTCTCAGAGAGAGGCAGCGGTGGAGGTGGAGCTTTCCTTTTGACCTTTGTTGGTCCTGATCTTGTTTTATTACGGCCTCGACACGAAACCACCTGAGAACTATTACCCTTAGTGTCAGCACTAGCTTTCACTTCCCTCTTTTTCTCATGGTTACTAACGACGCCTGAAAATGGAGCAGGTGGAGCAGCATTGACTTTTGTGGTAGCCACCTTCGAACAGGCAGCAGCACTGGTAACATCGCCATCGCGCTTTTCCTTTCGGAAGCTCTTTAAGGATCTTGGACGCGACAGTCTCCTGCTTTCTTCCCTGATAGTATCTTTCTTGCCTGGGAGACTGCAAGATAATCACAAGGGTACAGTGAATTCAAGTCATCAAAATGTCCTCTTAATAAAAGAGCAAGAAATAACACTTTGACTCAGTTTTTATGACCTTGCTTTATATCTAAGCCTTCCTTGAAAGGTGATGAAATTTTGTTGTTCATATTTCGTAAATGGAGTTTCAAATCAGTCTATCAGAGATTTGCAGTTTCATTTTTCTGAATCTCAATCGCCGTCATATCCCCGCGATTTCCAAAAATCATTTCATTGGCCTCTTAAAGCTGAGATTTAGCGCGAGTCGATGAAACCAAAAAAGCGCAAGTTAAGTGGTAAATTGCTTGGAGTCATTCAGTTTTTGTCCCAGACTTAAAAACAAAAACTGTTGGTTTTTTTTTGCCGGCGTGTTTTCTTTTTGCAACGGCTGCTTTATTCTTTCGCCGTACCAAATGCGCAGATGGAAAAAAAAACCTTCACCTAAATCTAACATGCCTATATTTATCGGTGATCTTTCCCGATGACTTTTCCTCTCTTTTTTCTCCACTTACCATTTGTCTTTGGCACATTCCACAGTCGGAGAAGGAACCGATGCTTTGAAGTGTAATTGTTGATGGTTTTTACTTCCACCTTTTCCACGCATTTTCTTCAAAAAACTCATGATTGCTTCCTTTTGCTCAAAACGATCACATGCGTTTCAGAGGAATGAAAATCTTCTGTTTATCCATTGTGATGTCATGTAGCCATGACGATAGGTTGTTAGTCTCATTCCAAGTCTACCGCGTCAGTGTAAATAGTTCGTTCAATTTTTCACAGAAAAGGAAGCTATCACTTGATTCAAAATAAATGATAAGTCGTCATACTACTGTATATCCAGCTTCATCTGTAAAGAAAAATCCGTGATTGTTTTAAAATAATGTGCACGCGCAAATCCTGTTCAGTTATGCGTGATGAAGATGCGTACAGCCAATATTGGATACTAGCAGAAAATCAGCTAAAAACTCTGAGATGTTTCAAAATTAAATAAACTGCTTGCAGTTTACTAGTTGGCCACATAGGAATGAAAATAAATGAAAAGTCTTGTTGTCTGCTTGATTTTCCTCTGAAAACCAGCATTAATGGATATATGGATTTACAAATGCCGTTTTTTTTCCTTTTTTTAACTTGAAAAATCGTCCCTAAAATATCACTTTGCCTTTTTTATTTCTCTTTTTTTCTGTGTGACAAGGGAACTGTAAAGTTGTAATTTCCAAAATAACCAAACACCAAGCGCAGAAGTGTGAGTTTTGTGTGTTCTGTATTTGGAATCAGTGTAATTTTCCCCATCCGATCCCCCTTGGTAACCTTTCTTATGCCCTTTTCACACTAATTTCAACAAGTTTCATTAAAAGTAGTTTTTTTAAACTTGGTTTTATAAAACATGTGTTTTTCAAGAACCGTTCACCCTGCAGACTCGGTTAGGTATTGCGCAGCCTCGTTTTGATATTGATTTTTGCGAACAAAGCTAAACACGCAATCAAAATGGCGGTCAGTTTGAATCACAATATCCTGCTGTTGTTGGCGCAGTCACGGCTGAGGGAAAACCTCAGAATTACACAAAACCGACAGAGAAACGCACAGAGACGGTTTAATCGTTATGTCCGTCGGAGACGTCTCGTTTGGTCATTGTTTTTTCTTTTTTTGCTTCGATTTCTTCTCCAACATCTTCCTGTTTGCCGTATTTGGCTAAAACCCCGGTCGCAAATATTTTGGAAAGAGACTTGCCAAGATTGGCAAGAAAAGGACTGGAATGAGAATTTTCGCATGTCTAAAAAAGCATTTAATCGCCTTTGCCGAGAACTTTCGCCACATATCTCTAAAATGGACACCAATTACAGGAAAGCCATTACAGTGCGTCATCGAGTCGCCATAACACGGCTCACTCTCGAACGATCGGAAATCTATTTGGTGTCAGAAAATCCACTGTTTGTGGTATTGTGCGACAAGTATGCGAGGTGATAGTGAACGTTCTTCCCAATTGTATAAACGTTCCCCAAAATCAAAATGAGGTCCAAGAAAAAATTGAAGGTGTTAAAAGTCGCGCGGGTTTTCCCCAGGTGGTTGCAGCATTCGATGTTTGCCATGTCCCAATCATTGGACCTCGGCAAAGTCCAGATGATTATGTTTACAGGAAGGGATTTCCCTCATTAATCCTTCAGGAGCTAGTAGATTGTAATTATCTATTTCTTGATATATGTGTTGGATGGCCGGGTAAAGTACACGACGCACGCGTCTTCAAGAACTCTCCATTGTTTGCCATGTGTTGTGCCAGAGCTTTTCTTCCGCTCGACATGTCGGTGATGATATCTGGTGAACATGTTCTTCCCCTGATATTAGGTGACTCAGCTTATGTCCTCAGCAACTGGCTGATGAAACCATATATTGATCGTGGAAATCTGACCCCGGAGGAATGCAGTTTCAACATAAAACACAACACGACTAGAGTAGTTGTCGAAAATGCCTTCAGAAGCATTGGAAAGAGACTGGACTTAAAAGTTGAAAATGCTTGCAATGTCATCACAGCGTGCTGTGTTTTACATAATTATTGTGAGATGCAAAACGAGTCTTTTGATGACAAATGGCTCAATGATATTCACATTCATGCTGGAGTTTGTCCAGGTGATCCAAACAAAAGGCAGAACCCAAATGCTATTGCAATAAGAGAAGCAATTAAAAGAGTCTTAATATAAATATTCATTGTCACATGAATCCCTAGCACATGAGTGTTCAACATAAGCATCTCTCACAAGCAAATAATCCATCAAAGAGCTTACATCTCGAGCTCAAAAAAGTTGTACATATGAAAACTTTCTCCCTTTTAAGTTTGTTGTGTACAGTGCAAATAGTTTCATAAATAATGGAAGAGTCAAGATCTTCTGATGGACACTCCTATAATAGGGTCAAGCAGTGTTCCATTTGTAATTACAGTTGTATAAATGAAATTTGAAAAGTAAAATGTGAATTGTGTAAATTAAAATTACTGATGGCAAACTTTGATTGTCTGTGGTATTCTTTGAACCCACATTTTTTTGAACATTTCAAAACCTGGAAACCATCTAAGAACAATTAAAGATGCAGTCATTGCAAGTTTGCCATTTCACATGTGAAATAAACATTAGCACTGAAATTATGCTAAAACATTAGGGAGTAGTTTGAAACCCATGGTGAGACATATGCTAATTTACCATGCATAATACATGTTCGCATAAAATACTAATTTGAGTGCAAGAATTGCATCTTCCTCTCTGAGTTTTAGCTTTAGGCCTAAAAAAGGAGGGGGACAATCTCAGCTTTTCTATCAAAGTGTTCAGCTCGAATACCAAGGAGATCTCCTCACTCAGTGACATGGCCTCAGCTGGGATTAATGTCAGCAGAACTACTTTAATTCATTAACTTTTTGCTCTTGTTCACTTGCAAGTGACTGCGTCATTATACACCAGACTTTTTTGGTTAGTTCCATACAAGAAAGAATAATTAAGCAAACAAACACACAGAGCTCTCTGTTGTAAATGTATCAATGAGACTTAAAAGACATCATTCATACCACCCTCTTTCTATGAACAACTGATGGAACCTCAGAAACAAATTTCATCATTTGAAAGGTGGATCACAACTTTATTTTCTAATATTAAATCAATTTTTCCAAAAGATCCTAACCATTGTGCACAAAAATATTCATTATTTCATTAATTTTCCGCAGCATTTTTTAAATACTCTCGGCCAGGTCGTTGAAAGCTGGCTTAAGTTAACCCAGGGTTAGTGTGAAATTTGATTTCAAATCTGAAAACTTAAAAAGAAATCCATTTTCTTTTTTTTTGTCTACAATTTGATGATTAGATGGTCTAAAAGGAATAGGGAAAATTATCCCAAAAAAGGCTCCTGAATACAGAAATAAAGAAAGCTGAATGAAAATTTAACTCTGGGTTAGTGCTATTCGGCTTCTGAACAACTAGGCTTTGCTGGAAAATTAAAATTAAGACCTAAAGGAAAAAAACGATTTCTATTTTCTCAAAGAAAAAAAAAGCATAATCAATTGAAGACAACCATACAAGACAAATAGTTCAAGTAAAGAAAAGTTAACCAGAGCATGTCATCATCAATGATTTAAGCGTTAAGTTCAATATAGTTTTCTTTTTTTTCTTGCACCTTCTCCAACGACTGGGAATCGGCCACTAGATTTCGTAAAACATCTTTCAACTTAGAGTATAAATAAAGCCGAAAGCTAAACCAGCTGAAACTGTCGCAGGTACGAGCGCAAATGAAATTGTTGAAAACGCGTAATTTTTATTTTCGAAGTACCTGCGCCAATTTCAGCAGAAACTCTTGGTCTTCCTTCCTCCTTTTCTCCTCCCTTTCTTCTTCTCGTCTTTCACGAGCTTCCTCTGCGGCCAGAAAACTCCTATCAGCAGCTTTTTGATAGGAAACAAATGCCTCCAACGCCTGGCCGATTTTTGTTAAGGTATCCGTCGTTGACAGCTTACGCTTCTTCGTCGCGGGTTTGAAAAATGGCTTGCTAGCATCTGTTGTTTTTTCTGCGAAGGAACACAAGAAATCCTTAAATGCAAAGTTAAAGTCGAGAATAAATCATGTAGAAGGCTGTTTGAGCGAATACTTATCTCAATATTATTGTACAAGTCTATTCATCTTGGAATTGTTAGAGATTACAGACAGCGCAGGCGCCGATATTGAAACATTTTCTTGGCTCATTACCTGACCCTCCGATCAGCGATAGTTCTCAAAGCTCACCTGTCAAACAATCACCACTGTTTGTTTGAGGAAATTTGCCGGCCGTTTTGTTGTTGCTGCCGCCGCTGGTGCCGCCGCTGAAGGAAGGCAACTCTTCGTTTGGTTCCTCGTTCTCAATATTTTCATGGTCTTCTTCTTCATTGTCCGCCTCAGTGATAATATTTGAAGAATTTAGCACAACCTTCGGTTTGGTTTTTTTAAAGAGAAATTCATCGACTTCGTCGAAAAACGCCGGCTTCTTCTTCGCAGTTTCGTTTCCGGTCTTCTCGCATTCGTCTTTGCAGAAGCGATACGCACTTACTGATGTGTATATTCTTGTTTTGCAGGCATCTTCATCACGGTCTTCGTAGCCTGCCGCTCGAATAAAATCGCTTATTTCTTACCATATAGGCCTCTTTCTGGTACAAGACATCAACTTCATTTGTATATTTTCATTCCCCTCACTTCTGGAGTAGCAATAACGTTTCCTGGTTTTCCCAAATTCTTCCGCGGGTTTTTCTGGCAGCCGCCATTTTTAATGAGTTTAGTTAAACACGAAAGTTAAACAACTTCGTTTAGGTAGTTTTATTAAATACGGTTTTAAACCTGTTTGGCTACACGCGCCCGCGGTGTGAACAGGTAGTTTAATAAAACTAGTTTATTAAAACAAGATGCGAGATGTGCGTGATCTGATCAATGAACCAAACATGTTTAGAGACCTTGACAATGAGGTTGACGTGTACACTTTTTTATGTTTCCTTGAATTCTTGGTTACCAAAACCTTTTTCGCTTGTATTTGTTTAGGATTGTCAAAAGACTTGTTGAAGGCTTTATTTACAGCCAAATGTATTTAATTTGCTAAGTTCATTACATCTTTATTTACGGACTGTGGATCGAGTGTAGCCTCTTCGTCGGTAAATAACAGCGAGCTTTCAGATAACGGACTACGATAGAATTCGGTCAACATGTTTCGATACAAACCTCTTAAACTGACTTCGTCCAGGATACGACGCTGAGGTACGTTTTAAACATACCGAAATGAATAAATGAGGAAACATATATATAAGCAGCGTAGAATTGGTATTCCTAACAATGAACTTTCAGTAAGAGGATCCACAAGATACAATGTCTCGACGTGAATTTGTAGTCAAGTGTACTATATGGACGTAACCAAGAGGCCAACTCTTCACTGTTCTGGACTAGTTTAATGCACGACGTTTCGGCCGTTCGGCCTTCTTCAGGTTAAAAATTAAAAACTAAAAACATATATCGAGCTCTACTTCAATATATCGAGCACTGTGAAACGGAAAAATTAATACACAGACTTCCTATTGATTTTATATATATATATATATATATATATATATATATATATATATATATATATATATATATATATATATATATATATATATATAAATAAAAAGAAAGCACTGCCTGAGACGACACAAGCAATCCATAAAGAAAACAAAGACATCGCGATGAAACTGGGAATCGACGACAGAGTAGACGCTACAGCCGATAAAGACGCATTCATAACACTTAAAGATCACAAGCCAAACTTCGCAAACAAACCGACCTGCAGACTCATCAACCCCACGAAGTCCGAGATAGGCAAAGTCAGCAAGAAGACCCTCTACCGCATCAACAGCACGATTGCGAAAAAACGCAACTTCAAAAAATGGAAAAACATCGCAGCCGTAATCAACCGGTTCACATCTATCAAAAACAAACGACACTCCAGCTTCATCTGTTTCGACATCGAAGAGTTCTATCCATCCATCCGCCAAGACATCCTTAACAAAGCCCTCGACTTCGCCTCCGACTATGACAACATCACCACCGACGAAAGAAATATTATAATCCACGCAAAAAACTCCATCTTAATCCACAAGCACCTACACTGGCAAAAGAAAGGCAACACAACATTCGACGTAACAATGGGAAGCTACGACGGCGCAGAAACATGTGAACTCGTGGGAAGCTTTCTGCTCTCCCAACTCCAGGACCTTAATGCAAACATAGGAATTTACCGAGACGACGGACTTGCCATCACTAACGCCACACCTAGAGAAACAGAGAACATCAGGAAAGAAATATGTCGCATCTTTAATAATAACGGTCTACGCATCACCATAGAGGCTAACAAACAAATAATCAACTTCCTAGACGTCACATTTAAAGTACCAATCTTTACTCATGAGTGGAGACAGTGACTTTAAGATTTAAGTTTCGTTCACAAAGACAAAAAACAATTTCGCGCCCCTTCCCATCATCGGCCTCACTTTGAATCTGGTCTGCAGTTCAAATTAACGTCTGATCACTTCATCGTAAGAATCGCGTGAATTTTTATGGTATGATGAAAGACAAAAACCAATGTGATCACGAGGGTCAGTCAAGGAGCCAATGAGAACTATAAGTAAAGCTAAGCAAACTGCCCGAAGCGCGGGAAAAGTTAGCAGCGATTAGTTTTGCATTTGGGGCAGGTTTTCTGGCCTTATCACAGAGGGTGGTTAAGTAAAGCCGTCGAAATCACGGTTCACTTTCATTTCGAAACTTAATCGAAATGGCCACATGAACACAACAATGATCATCACATACTTTACAACAACAAAGTTTATTAATATTTAACTTACAGGTTTTTCTTTTCATACTTTGAAGCCACTGCATAATTATCTCAAAACCAACATTCATAAAAGAACATTAAACAATAATATGATAA